GTGGGGGCTAAGTTGGCCCAAGTTCGGCGTAGGTGGGGGCTAAGTTGACACAAGTTCGGCGTAGGTGGGGGCTAAGTTGACACAAGTTCGGCGTTGTTCAGGTCCTGACCTACAAAGACTTGAGCAAGTGACGATTTCAAGAATTTGAATGCCACCTACACCAAAAGTTTGGACGCTAGCAAACACAAAAGTCGGCGTTGTTGGGGCGCCGACCTACAAAGAGTTATATAGGCCCTAGCTCTACCTACACCAAACTTTGTTTTTTGAAAATTCTAAGTTCGGTGTAGGTAGAGCTAGGGCCTATATAACTCGGCGTTGTCAGGCACCTGACCTACACTGAAAGTTTGGACGCTAGCAAACACAAATTTCGGCGTAGGTGGAATCAAAACGGCGCACAGGGACAAGTTTTTCATTGTATGCTGAATCACAGGTGCAGTGTCAGGCTCCACCAAGGTTCAGCCTCAGCTCCAAAGCTGATTCAGGCAGCATTGCTGCTTTAAACGTCTGTGTCATGACATGTTTCTGTCTCAAAGTAATTACAGTGGTTGTTTTTTTCTTTGCTTTTGAACAGGCTCACAAGGTCAGTGTGGGAGACGGGCAGGCATAAAAAGCAACAAAAAATATACAGAGTTCATATTAACTTTAGTATTCTGTTGAAACTTGTTCTGGGGCACTAAAGGCTGATTGTTCACCTACCCCTTCTCCACACTGCCCTTAGTGGTACGCTCGGGGCCAGAGTGGCCAGCGCAACTGGATGTGGCTCTTGCCGGGCCTGTGGCATCACTTCAATCACCGGAGCTTCCTCGTGCCATCGTAAATGAGGAAGCTCATTCACAGGGAGACTGCAGTCTGCCAAGTTCCGCAAGTAGGCACCTGCCTTGCGCCCATTGGGTGTTCCACCAAATAGCTGCTCAAATATGATGGCTAATTCTCTCCAGTCTTGAAGTGATTTCGCCCCCACAGCTCGATATGGCATCACTCCTCAGCTGAAAATACTTAAATCTATTCATATATATATATATATTATATTTACACACAATCTACAGCAACTATGGTTTCATTGATCATGGTGAGTAAACAAAATGTCTTAAGTTGAAACTAAGTGGCTAGACGTGGTCATAGCATAAGTCTCACGGCTCTCACATGTCAGGACCAACAAGGGCAACTGTCTCAAGTCTGGTGATGATATGTACTCTTTCACCAACACGAATGTATCGTCTGGCTGCCTGTCTCTTCGGTGGTTTGTCCCCTCGTCAGTGTCATAGTGCTCAGGCAAGTCTGCCAGGGTCCAGGGATAGATGGTTTTCATAAGTCAGCTTTACTTCAATCCACTAGACTATAGTGGCCCCAATCAAAAATATAAAGCTTTGGACAAACTTCTGCCTCTTCTTCGACAGAAGAAGAAATAGTGGTTTGCCGTAGCATCCACAAGCAATCCACCTTCCTGAAGCAAGTCACCAAAACAACATGGTCCTTTTGTTCGTGTGTTTTTTGTGTTCATGTGAACTGCAAGCAAATGAATCCAAAGGATACTGAAATCATTCTCAAAAGTCCATTTTTGAAGGAGAATATTCCCGATGGTGTTCAAACCAGTTCCGGATCTTGCGGATGATCCTGACATCAACCGTCCCATTGACCCACTTGGCCAAGGATGGCTTTCGTAGTTCATCTTCCAGGATGAGTTTCACAGAGTCTGCATCGATCATGCTTGTTGAGCGAGATAGCCGTCTGCTTAGCAATCCCCAAAGTTGATCTCAGTTGTGTTGAAAGAGGTGTTGATTTCACTCATAATGGCCACTCCACCCCAACACAATAAAACCAAAGTTGCAAAAAGTACGAGTACGAGCTGCCAATGACATCATGGGTGTGACTAATCTCATCATCATGGCACAAGTGAACCTGGGCCAGAACCAGCATCACACTAAAAGGAAAAGAAACACACAAGGCACAAGTTCAAAACACATAGTGACATAGTGTATATAGTGTATATGGGCAAGAAACCTGAACTTGTGGTGGTTCACCAATGACGCCAGGTACCCAAGGCAAACAGAATTCTTGACTTCTTTGACAGTGTTGTCACTGACCAGAGTCAGTGTATCAGGAGCTGGTTTGCCTTTTGCCTGATAGATCTCCATGGCCTTTTCAAGGGTGATCATCAAAAGTTCCTGTACCAAGCTGGAGCCATGTGTGGTATTTTCTTCCAGAATTCCCAGCTGCAAGGTGACGCCAAAGCACCAAGCCCCGTGAATCTTCAGCTTTGGTCGTTGCTGTTTGCTTGCTCGATAGCATGATCGTAGGCTCTCATCTCTGGGAATCTGATATTTTGCCTGCAGAAAGTTCAATAACATACAAAGCAACAGCATGGATTCATCTCCAAAAAGTTTATGAAAGCCAACTGTTTGGCTGTGCTTAGGAGTTGAACCCTGCCAAATCATTGACTTTCAGGGGTCGCAAAATGTGAACAACTTACACATATTGGATGAGGATCTTGGTCTGCACCGTCTGTGATGATTGTGATTGTGCGGCTGAACTGGTCTCCGGATACGTCCCTGAGTGCCCACCAGGCACAGCGGTCTGAATACTGTGCCATGAGGTGTTGTCGGTACAAACGGAGTGCACCCAAACGCACGTCCATGGTAAGCTCTTTGTCCTGAAACCTGTGCTCACCATCTTGATGGTATCAAAAGAGGTTCTATAACAAGCATTCATCATCTGGGAAGAAACAAATTCAAAACTTGCAGAAGCTGGATTTGGTGAGCCACTGTTGTTTCAGCTCTTGGCAGACGTCGCACTGTGAAAAGGAATTGCGATCTCTGAACTTGAGGATCAAGGTCCATCTTCGGTTCCAGTGACGTACAAATGTGCCATACCTGATGCATTGACCACTGATGCTTGGTCAATTGGTCAGAAACCATTTCACATAATGATTAAATATTGACAAGCTACGACGCTAGCTTCTGCACTCCATGTGCTGAGCACCAACCAGTGTAGAACTGGTAAACTTCATAAAGCGTCCCAGGTGGTAAATATTTTCTGCACAGCTTGGAAACATCCTTGGTGAGCAAGTTAACCATGATTCCTGCTAGTGATTTGGAAGAAATATATTCGGGTTCAAACCAGAAGCTGTTCATACAAAAACAGAAACCGGGTGTTACTGCAACAGCTTTGCAAGGCGCTGTGAATGCTGCAGTTGCATTCATATTCACCAGACACGAAGTGTTGGCTTGCAAGTAGTCTGCCAACTCGCCGTCCTTGTCCTCGTCAACTTCTGATGGAATAATGAATTCATTTTCACTGCTGTCAGATGCAGTTGACGTGGTCTTTGTAGCTGCTTTGTGTGGCCGTGCTTTGGCCCCCCCAAATCGAATGATTCTCAGCTGAGATATGTATATAATGTGGTTGAGGCTCAGGCGCTATAGAAATACTACAGGGCGCTTGGAAAAAGACTAAGGCATACCAGGTAGCTTGTGTGGCAAAGGCTCTGCAACACTGTTATAAAGAACCATTGCAAAAGAGTCTATGCTGGCTGTCAATTGTGATGCCCTCATCTGCTTGCCAAACCGCAGGTCGATCAGGCCAATGCGATCGACGCGATGACTGGAGATCCCCAACAATGCTTCGAAGCAGACCCTTTTGAGGTAGAACCCAAGGAAATAGAATTCTCTTCTGGTCTTGCCGCCACTCCAAAGATTTCCCTCTGCGTCTTGTACAGCAAGACACAAAATTGTATCCTGCTCACGTTTGCCTTGCTGCTCGAATTGGTCCAAGAACCGCTGTACATCTGAAGCACGAAGTTGCCCATAGCAGCGGCCCTCTGTGCACTTGCACTTTCCTGACAAAAGGCCCTGAATTCTTTCCTCACTATGTTGTGATGACACACACACATGCACACATAGTACAAACCCTGTTGAGGAACAACAACCTTTACTGTAAGAGAAAACTGTTTTAATGTGAAAGGTCAAAACTTAAGTTGATTCTTGCTCAAGGTTCTGGGTTGTTTCTTGCTACTCGCTGCCTTCCACAAAATGATTGTGATTTCAATTCTTTTTTGGCAGCAGCTGCTTTTGCACGACCTTCATTGTTGTAGCGCCGCTTTTTCTTGGCTTGTTCAGCTGTAGGCTCTCGCGCACCTTTTCCTATCAAGTTTGTTGTCAAGAACTGGTTCAGAGTTGAAAAACTGAGCTGCACCAATGCTTGGATATCCTTGGTGTCCTCATCATCAGCCTCGTACGCGGAGTCTTCTGAAAGCTCATCAGCCTCCATGCCAAACAGAACCTGAGGAGGCTGTTGATCACCTTCTTCTGGCTCATCCCTGAGAAGGCTCAGAGAAACATTCTGTGATCCAGGTTTGTGTCTCTGGCAAATCACTGGCTCATCTCTTTCAGCTTGAAAGAGGACAGGCCCAGCATCTTCCTCCTTCTCATCTTGGAACAAACCAGGGCCACTGTCTTCATCTGGCTCATCTTGAAACAGCATGTAACAGCAGGCCCATCCCAAGATTCGCCATTGTCAGGACGGGTATAACATAGGCTTGGACTTTTCGTGTTGGAAACTAGTTGCTAAAAGATTCACTCAGGTGAACGTGCAAGTGTGACATGTACTCGTATTTCAGTGGAGGTGTTCCAAACAAAAAGGGATCGGGATCCTTATTTTGAACAATCTTGACACCTGCAACACTTGCCTTGGGCCTGAAAAGGTGGAATGCATTTGAAAGGATTGAATTTGCAAAACTAGAAAGAACTGCCAGTACCCACGACTTGGTCTCAGACGCTTGCAGGGTTTCTTCATGATAGGTGGTGCCACCTCATCCTCCTTCGTGGCAAAACTTGACAACTCATTGAGGAAAGGACAAATTAAGACCGACATGTTTTGTCCTCGATTGGCTGCAAACAAACCAGTGCCTGGCTGACAACTCTTTTGACTAACCACACATCAGAACTAACACGCCAGGTAACACAAAGGAGTGCAAAGCCCACGCATGGGATGTCCATCCCATTGCCTGCAAGGAACGCCTGCGATTCAACAAACTCATAAGACAGCAGACTGTGAAATCGAGGCCCAGCCTTAGCGTTTGACTTCAAACCGCTGAGGTTGGGCTGTGGCACACCAATACCCTTGGCCAACTCTTCTGCAACGGGAAGCCCCATCGCTGCCAGCATTTCTGATCCAGTAAGCGGCCGATTATGCAGCTTGCTCCACCTTGCATGAGTGGAAATGACAGCCTTCCTTTCACCTTCTTTTACTTGTGTGTTAGGAAGTGAGACAAACAAAAAAGAGCAACGTGGGAAGGGCCAAGTCACAGGCACGAGCTGCTTGTGGTAAATGTTGGCAGTGATCCATCTGCTGTACTGGTTCTTCCTCTTGCAACCTTTGGATCTGGATTCTGTGACAAATCCTGACATGGGCTTGCTGGCCCCCCAAAATGTTCAATTAGACATGAACTGCACAGCTTTCTCAATAAATGAGTGTTGTGTATGAGTAGGAGTAAAGGAGCCAAGAATCTCACACCAGGTGATTTTTGTAGTGTTGCTCATACTCCACCTTGAACCTTGCTGCAGAATCAGAGAGTCGAAGGGCATGCATGTCATAGCTGCCACTCTCACTCACCTAGGTTGGAGCGACAAGGGTTACTGTTTTCACTATTTGAGAAGCACATTCCAAAATGCTTGGCAGAAAGTCGCCAATGCGTCGCCGTGCAGGGTGTACATATCATCCGCAGAAAGCTGCAACTTCTGGTGTGGCAGTGTGAGCTTCAAAATCGTTCTCATCTTTGGTCCCACCCACTGGAATCTTGATTTATCATAGAAGACTCTGTATGTTCTCGGCCTCACACAGTGTTGCTGGTGGAAAATCACATCCACATAGATGTGCACAAAAAATAGTTTGACCACGACACGCCTGTTCATCGGCTTTCCAAATCGTTGTGGCGAGATCGTGGTTGACTGAATCGCAAAGGCTTTTCCAAGAGTTTCCTCTAAGTATTCATGAGGGAATTTGTTGACATTCTCGTGGAGGAACCAGCCTGGCCTAAGGGAAGCTGCATCAAGCCATACACTCCAAACAAGAAACGTTTGACAAACAAACCAAAAGTAAAAAAACTGGAACTGAAACCTTCTGAAGTTTAAGGAAGATGCTTTCTATCCAGCTTGTCCTTTATCCAAATGTCTTGCACTGCACGCTTTGCAACATTAGACGTGCTCGTGCCCTCTTTTTTCCCCATCCTGAGATTGCAGCACAAAGCGTGCAATAACAAGTCCTACCACAAAAATAGCAATCCAAAATGTTCAATCACTCTGTTTCATCAAGCTTCTGGCTGAACAGAACGCACGGCGTCCCTTCCACTGCAGCTTGTTCCCGACCTGGTTCTGCAGCTGGTGTTCGGGTGCATTGCTTCTTGTGGACGAGGCAATCTGCAGATGGCACCTGTTGATGATGCATCCAAAAACGTTCACAAAACTACAGTACTAACATTTGATGTTTTCAAATTCAAAGTCAACCCATAAAATAATAGCAAAGGTTCATGACGAACCAAGGGGCCAATTTCATGCGAGAAAAGGGGACTGTGTGGTCCTTCACAAAGTCGAGCAAATTATTGAAGCAGCACCTCTCTGGAAAGATTTTCTGCAAGAACCTCACATGGTGCTTGGTCATTCTTTTTGAGAAACCCTTTTTGTTGAAAATCCATTTGCAAGAAGCATGCTACTACATCTTAGCCAAGCTGCTTGCGAGAGTTGCTGTTAATATCACATGCACGTCCAGGGGTCCAGCTCAAATCAAAGCCATACCTGGTTCATCTCAAGACAGTCAGTATCACCCAGCTTTTGAAGTTGAAAGGTTCGAACACGGTCAACTTGAGATAAAAGGCAATGCTACTTTCATTGATAAGTGTCCTGCGACGACATGCGCTGCTTAACTGCTGCGTCGCCCAATGTGGGCAATCAATCCCAGTGAACAAGCTGTCCAACACAATCTTGTGCTTCTCCAATTTGAAACGAACTGTATCTGCTCCAAACAGACTCCTAGTCATTCAGTGTGGCAGAGCTACCCCAAGCACTGGTTGGGGGACTGATTCCAAACAAAAAGGCGCTGAAGAATGCCAAGGGTCTCGAAGCGAAGGAGCAAGCGGACTGCTCATGAAAAGAGGTCTTCATAGCGAGATGGGTTTTCCAGCCTCAGGTTCTGCTAAATAAGATTGCTACACAGGAGCCATGGAGTGTCTCACCAACTAGTCCAAATTGAAAAAACAAGGCAAACTGGTTGTGTGTTCAACCAGGTTTCGGCTTTGGCATGCGTGAGCGCATGTTCTGGTCTGGATCATCAATACCATCATCATCATAATCACCAGGAACTCCCGGCCGTCCTAGTTGAACGACAACTGACATGTTTGGTTGGATAGTAAAAACTTCTGGATTAAAGGATGGTTTGCTCCAAACATTCTGGGTGAGATAACAGTCAGTCAGGGATCTGAGGTCGTGAGGTTGATCCTCATCTGGTTCATCTGCAAACAGTTCAGCCTGGTCCTCAACAGGTCATAACAGCACCCACTCCACCTTTCAACACCAAAACCAATGAAAACTTCTCTGCAAAAGCAATTGAAGACTTCGCTGCAAAAGCAATCTGAATGGTCCTCCTCGCTCACAGAATCCAGCAATGATCGATGCTTCTTCAGCACACGTTTTGGTGCCATGAGTGACCCTGACACCTTCAACCCTTTACAACTGTTTTGAGCAAACACAATCAATCAACAATAAACACATTGTAAATACAGCGTTGCAGCTTCTTTTAAGTTGTGGTGACGTACCATGAGTCCAAGATTATTGACCAAGTCAGTGTACAAAAAGTGAAGTTCCTTTTTCTGCCGACCCCAATGCTCCCAAGGGCATTGCTTTGATCAATGTTGCCAACATCTTCAGAGGTCCTCAGATGCAAGTGGCTGGGTTGACGCATCAAGGGATCTAGGTCACTTCAACACACTTCCAACACAAATGGCCCAACGCATTCCATTCCAAAAGTTCAGTGGCAGTGCTTAACAATGGTCATTTAAAGACAATGAGTAGCTCAGAACACTGCTGGGCTGCTGCGAGGTGGCAAAATGAAGGGTCAGTCGCGTTGAAAGCAAGTGATCTCACTTCTCCTGGTGGTAGCATACAGAAGAAGTCATAGTTCCTTGCCAGGGTATTGTTTAACCAGGACCAAAAATGTGTTTTTCCAAAAGAAAGTTTAGATTCAGCTTAGCTGCTCCAAATACATACGCTGCTCATCCGACTCATGTGACAGATCCTTCGGCGCAACCACCCGGAAATACTTCACCTTGACGGTTCGGCTTTCATCTTCGTTGTCTACGAACATACAGGCCATCATCCAGTTGTAGTGGTTGCGCCACTTCATCTGCCAGATCTCCAGCCCTTTGATCACTGGTGATGTGTCACTGCGATCGCCCTGAGATTCTTCTCAGGCACTTTCAAAGATAGGTTTCAAAATATAAACAAACAAACCAACCAACCAACCAAAACAAACTTGCCCTTCATTTCAAAACATTGAAGCCAGAGTGCTTCAATATAGTGCTTGTAGGTGCCTTTCATGATTTGCTGACTCTCGTAGTCATAAGGAGACACCCTGACCCAACCAGGTTTGTTGTTGATCATGTCGAAGTCGACGTCATGCAGGCAAGGTTCTTCATCTTCACCAAGTTCGGTGTACAACATCTCATACTTTCCACAAGGAAAAAGTCCATCCCAACACCACAATGTGCCTTTGTTGGCAATCAGGAAAGGCATTTGGGTTTTTCAGGTTGCTAAGTGTTGAATGTGATGTTGACCCTTACCAAAAACCAAAAGAAAGTTGAACTGTAAGGTTCAGGTGCCCAATGTATTCCACTGCATCTTCTCACGGGAAATGGCTAGCCAAACCCTATGGTCGATGTCCTCGCCCTTCCTCAACTTTTGGTCCAAAATTGCGTTGACAATCTCGTTGCTGCAATGTTTGCGCTTCCATTTGTTGCGCTGCCGCTGCATGGCTGGCTGGTGGTGAACCTAATAAAGAACAAAGTGCATTGAACTTTGACCTTTCTATGCTGTTCCAGTCTTCATACCAGTGCTGATCTTTGGCTTTCCCAATCTTCGGGTCGGGGTTGAGCCTGTGTGACAGCAGGTACCGGCAAACTCAATTACCAGCTAAGATCTGAGCTAGTTCTGGAAACTCGATTTATTCAAAGACACTATTTCCACTTTCTACGATTTCTGACTTTCAAGTGAGTATGGGAACGGTTCTGAAAAAATAAAGTACTTCGAGCGACCCCCACCCAAAGACAAAGTGTTCTCATGTTTTATCCCTATGTTGTGTCATGATAGCATTTCCATTGTGGTGGTGACAGCTGTTACCAATGTGGTGGTGATAGCATTTCTGCTACCATTGTGGTGGTGACAGCTGTTGCCAATGTGGTGGTGATAGCATTTCTGCTGCCATTGTGGTGATGA